GAAGCAGCTAGAGAAACACGCGGTGCGGGATGATTGGGTGGGGGTGTTGAGAAGATAAGAGGAGCAGCTGATTTAATAAAAAGTGAGTGGGGCGCTAAGGTTGAGAAACACTGCCACTGAAGATAGCCGAAAGGATTGCGATTGCAGCAAGCAGATATCTCCCTGCCAAAGCTCTAGAGGTCATTGCAGGATGGATAGACATTTCTGAATTGCTGCAGACAGCTTTTTCCTGCATTCCTATATTCACCCCACTGATGAAATTGTTCTGCTAAACCAGAGGCATACAAAGTCACCCAGCTGGCTTTCTGGTCTAAGTGTCAGGTTCAGCCCAAGAACCACAACAAGACAGTCCAGGAACAGCTCAGTTACTTTCTTAGCTTATACCTACTAGACAGAATCTTGCCAGACTAACTCTAACCCCCAACAACAGCAACTATAACCCTGAATCCCTTAGGGAGGGGCCAGTCCCCTTCTCTTCACTTTCACACGCTCTGGCTGGGGGCTGAGGAGAGGCTTGGAATGTTTCTCCCCTTCCCTGTAATCTTGAAGCTCCATTCCAGGATCCTCCTCGCTCATGCCTTCCGTCACACTAAGGGAGGACTAGAACTCACGGTCTCCTCATTTCCAGCACAGCATCTTAGCCACTCCCTCACCCTGCTCTCAGTAGATGGAGCGAAGAAACCAGTGGGAATTTTTGAGACAAATGACTTGTATGATCTGAGCATCTGGAGACTAAATGAACAGCCCTGTTTTTATAGCACGTTTTCAGTGGAGGAAAAGAATTGTTAGTTCCCCTGCGGCTGTGGGGTCGGAAAAGCTGTTTGAACATAGAATGCAAATTCATGGATTTGTTTAGGAAATGTCACGGTCTCACATCAGAAGTGCAAAGCCTGGGAAAATGCGCATCCAGGCATCCAAGCACCCCCACTGACCGGCTCTTTCTGTTCCACCAGTGTTCATGGTGTTTTGCTTCATTGCTGGTGTTGATGTGGTGATCGCTTTGGAGGAAGACGGCTACACGAGCAACTTTGCCGATTTCTACATCAGAGAGGTTTGTCTCAGGGATCCAGCCTGTGCATTTGGAAGTGGGGGAAATACACCATTAAGTTCTGTGTCCCCAGCCTACCTAGAGAAGCAGTGATGTATGTAAAAAAAAGGGGCAGGCTTTGATTGCTCAGCTGCCATCTTGACTTTTTTGACCACCCTGTGAGCCAATGGGTTCTCTGGGAGATGCAGTCTCAGGATTGATGGGGTGAGGAGTTAGGAAAAGTAGTTTCCCTGTCCCTTCCCCAGATGACCAATATGATCTAGCAATTTTTTAAAAAAATTCAGCTGAACGTCAGCCACCATGCCTTCTTTCAGATATCTTTTTAACCTCCCAGTCTATTACTCAGCCCTGGAATTTCCTAATGGTCTCTTTTCCCACTAATTCCTGAGTCTGATTAACGTTTTGAGATCGTTTCTGCATTGTTGCCAAAGGACAAGGAGCCCACCCCCACTGACAGCAATCTTTATCCTTATCCAAACCTTACCCCTTGTGTGCCTTGACTGCTAACTGGTTGGTTCTGAATGCCATTCAAGGTGCTACAATTGAGCTTCTTAGCCCTTCTAGATGGCACCAACTAGCTAATCTCAAAAAGCTAAGCAGGGTTAGAGCTGGTTAATATTTGGATGGGGGATCACAAGGGAACCCTGGGGTGGGAAATTAAAAAAAAAATCCCAGAAAAAGCCAGTGTCAAACAATATGGGCGCATCCACGAAATCGTCAAAAGTTGAGCTCTGCTTGATGGAAACTTAACTGTGGATGATTCTAGAATACAAGAGGAGAGGTCACTGGCCACTTTCACAGCTGGATCAATGTGAAAAAAAAAAAAGACAAGGCATTTCCCTTTTTTCTTCCCAGGTTTATGTTTGCAGACAAACATAAATATGTCTGTTGGTGGGAGGGAGAGAAAACTGGCCAGGTGCAAACAGTTGGAATTTTGGGAACATGTCATGGGCACATTCACAAAATGGCTGCTTGAAGGATATGGCCAATCACAGAGCACCTTCCCTGCTGCCCTTTTACCCACTTGCCCCCAGTTTAGCTGCCTTTTTTCTGGGCAGTTGAGCATGTTTTCAAGCTCAGTATTGAACTGCATCCAGTAACAATGTTTTATTTGCTGAGACCGCAGGATATAGAGGCATTCTTGAAAATAAACATGATGCCTTATAGCTTATTAGCTTCCCATGTATTAATTTATGTATTGCATTGGTTGAAAAATAAAATGAGGTTAGATTTATTTATTTCTGTCTTTGCTTATTTAAATAATTTATATGGCCAGCTGGCCACCCAACTCGGACATCGCAGCTCCGGGTGGTGTACAATAGATCAAAAAGCAAAACAAGACATAACAATTTTGGTTAAAATCCAAAGAACAAAGAGCCAACCAGGAAATCCTGTTCATATCCCTCTCCCGGTGAGAACCTCCAGTCGTCCCAGCCTGAAGAAAAAGGCAGATTTTGATTTCCGAAAGCCAACAGGGTCGAGGCCAGTGATATTTTGAAGCTGGGGGTGGAGATTACTCCAGCAGCAACCGGAAGAAGCCCACCTCCAAGGTCCCATCAGATGCCCTTGTTTTAGAGATGGGGCCCGAGCATGCCCAACCTGTTGGACTGGGTGGGACAGGCAGGTGTTGCTGGGGAGAGACGGTCTCAGAAGGGAAATATCATTGTGAAAATTCAGTTGCTGAGTTTTTAACTGGCGTGGTGGATGTGTCATGTGAGGCCCGATTGAGTTGAAAGGGTGCTTAGGGACCCAAGCTTCCAGTTCAGTTCAGGAATCTTGCAACCAGAAGCATCTTAGTTTGACCTCGGCTTTGTTACTTCCAATGGCGGAGACCCCGCCATCTCTCAAGGCAGTTTGTCCTGTTAGGGCGTTTCTCCTAAAATCTAGCTCAGCTTTGTTTTGATTCGTTCCAGCCCTGGAGCAACAGAGAACAAGCTTGCTCTGCCCAGCTGGTGGACCTGTCCTGAAGGCATCCGGGATAGGAATGAGATCAGGATGTTTTTTTTGATGGTGTTGCTGTTTTGTCCTCTGCATTATAGGGTTATCTTGGCACAGCATATGGCATCATGATCTCCTACTGGCATGCTGTGGTGAACTACGCCATGTATCTCATCATGATTGCAGCCATTGTTCAAAGGTGAGGCCAAGTCTCAGCCCTTTGAGGTGGACCAAGTCAAGAAACACACCACAAGAACTGCTGGAACTCTACTGTATTGTTATAGGGTAGGAGAGAAAGGGAGATGGTCTTGATGAAAATAGGCAAAAACCATAATGCAGGCAAGGGGGGTAAAACATTTTAAGCCCTGAGAAACAAAATAATATTCTGAAGCGGATCAGGCAAACACCTCCCTGATCCATTGGGGAGGTACAATACAGAGCCATTGCCTGTTATTATAGTCTATCTCAATAAAGTACAGGTAGTTCTTGAGTTACAACCATTTGTTTAACAACCACTCGAAGTTACGACGGCACTGAAAAAAGTGACTTATGACCAGTCCTCGCATTTACAACCATCACAGCGTACCGGCAGTCATGTGATCAAATTCAGGCACTTGGCAACCGGCATGTATTTACAATGGTTGCAGCATCCCAGGGTCATGTGATCACCATTTGTGACCTTCCCAGGGGGCTTCCGACAAGCAAATTCAATGGGGGAAGCTGGATTCGCTTAATGACTGTGGTGATTTGCTTAATGGCCACGGCAAAAAAGATTGTAAAATCAGGTGTGACTCATTTAATGACTACCTCACTTAGCGATAGAAGTTCTGATCTCAGTTGTGGTTGTAAATCGAGGACTACCTGTACAATTCTAATCTTCTTGTGGAGTTGATTTTCTGGTCTGGTCTACCTACTGAGGTTAACAATAACAGAACCTTAAAAACTTGACAGAGATTCTCTCTCTCACTTCTCATACTACAGCAAATCAAGGCAGGGCAATCTTGAGTTTTTTCCTCACCCCTTCCGGTCTATTGGGGCTATGCTGATGCTTTGTAACAGTCACTGAATTCCTTCTTCAAGGCCACCTCTGTATTCCTTTGCACCCGGGTTACCTGCCCCATTAACTTGCCTCATTTATGGTTTCCAGGGGTCATAGAATAAATCTATATAGCTTTGAAGGTGCAACAGTTGGAATTTGGTTTGTCATGCTATTGTTCAGAGGTCTGGAACCTCTCTCCAGAAAAAAAAAAAAGTTGCAATGCAAGCTAAGTGGAGCTTCCCTAGAGAGAAGCAGTTTACCTCTCCATCCATATGTATTTGTTTGTTTCTTAGATTTATATCCTATTTTCCTCCAGGCACTTAAGTATTCCCTCCTCCAGTTTTTTCCTGCAATAACAACCCTGTATGTAGATTGGGGTGAGAGAAAATGAGTGGCCCAAAGGCACCAGTGAGCTTCCATTCCTGAAGTGGATATGAAACTAGTCTACCTGTCCTAAATCCACCTAATACTATTAGTCATGGTAAATAAGTGGAACTGCCATGTTCAATCTATTTCTGAGTATCAGGTTTCTGGGAATAAATAATCTGGAAGGCCTTATTTTCTTACTTCTGGGTTTCCTAGCTGGTTGGCCATTATTAGAAATGACGTTGGACTAGTTTTCCTTTCTTTTTAATTTATGAGATGAATCTTTGATTTAATGCTTCAGAAACCTTTTGATGCAAGATAAGGTTTCATAACAGCTAACAGCAAGGATAATTCATTAGAACTTCCATATTTAAGAGCAGCCTATCTCTGTACACCAAATACTGCAAACGAAGGACAAGACAAGACAGTTAGCTTCCATGCTTTGTTGGTGAGTCGGTTGCCCCCCCCCTCGGCAAATGGGACCATATAGGTTGAAAGTTACAGAAGCATCTAGTGAGGACTGAGCATGTCTCAGGGCCAAGGAAGGCTAACTAGACTAGTAACCGGCTAGACAAAAATGGGTTAGTTAGTTTGTGGCTTAGTATGTTGTGTGGAATTGTTCGGGGTAGTTAGTGGGAATCCAGGCACTGAGTTTGGAGGAGGTGGGAATAGACAAGTGGGATGCAGGAGAAGAAGAAGGGAAGGAGGAGGGAGGTCATCTGGAAGATGTTGCTGATAGATCAGAATGGCAAACAAGATTCCTTCCTACTGCAGGTAGGTTTTTTCAGGTTCCTTCCTAGTCTTTCTCCTAATGCTTTCTAGATATTTGCTTGCTTTCTAGAAAGAGTTACCGGAACATTGGCCTCTATTGGGTTGGATCCTTCACCATGGCCTTTGTGGTCTTCCTGCTGGGCAGTGTGATTGGTGAGTCCTATTTATTTCTCTGGACTTGGCAAAATCCCTTTCCCCTTTCCCCATTATTATTTAAAAATAAAGAAATAGGTCCGATCCTTACAATAAAGATGTTAGGAGGAAGCTAAAAGAATAGAACAGACGGGCTACTATTGGATTTCCCCCCCCCCCCCCAAATTAGCAGAATCAATCTCAAGCAAAGTTTGGGTGGGTATCCTTGGAGACGTTATCTAGTTTGATTGTTCGTGGGACTGAAGGGGAAAATGGTTAAAAATACAGTGGGAGAGTAATCGTATTAACTGCACTTCATTTTAATGAAATGGAAAAGAAATTAAATCAGACTAAGCTTTTGTGGGGTTTGTCCCACCAAACCAGGTTTGTTCCTAGCAGGTTTGTTGGTCGAATTCTCCCAAATGTATTGGGTGTGAAAGGCCCAACTTTGATTCCGGGGAGATCTGCAATAGATCTTTAAAAATACAGATGATAAGATGCACACATTGGGGGTTCCATGGCACAAACGCTGGGAAAATCTGGTAACCTTCGCATGATCTTTGCTTGTAGGGAAATACAGCTCTGAGATCCGACCAGGCTTTCTGCTCAACCTTCCTTATCTCATTATACCCGTCTGGGCAGCCAAAAGATTCTTTGCTCAGTCCAGAACCTGCCCTCTGCCAACAGCCGATCAGGTCTGAAAAATTTATGTATAGTTCTATAGCTATCACTCACTGTATACTGTTGTGCTTTTTATATAATAGGTTGTTTCTTTTTTAAAGAGGTTTTTTTTGGGGTGCCTTTGAGTCAGTGTTGACTCCAGTGGTGACTGTCTGGACCAGTGTTTCTCAACTGTGGCAACTTGAAGAGGTGTGGACTTCAACTCCCAGAATTCCCCAGCCAGCTGGCTGGGGAGTTCTGGGAGTTGAAGTCCACACCTCTTCAAGTTGCCACGGTTGAGAAACACTGGCCTGGACTAATCCCTGCAGTTTCTTGGCAAGATTTTTGGAAGTGGTTTGCCCTTGCCTTCTTCCCAGCGTGGAGAGTGGGACTGGTCCAAAGCTGGCTTTGTGCCTAAGGCAGGACTAGAACTCACAGCCTCCTGGTTTCTTGCCCGCTGCTTTAACCACTACACCAAACTGTCTGTTCTATAATAGTAATGTATAGTCAGTACTGCTCTGTAGTTTACCTATAGTATTGCAAACTCAAAACAAAGGTTTTTAAAGAAATGTTAAAGGCTGGGAAGTGTCAGAGCCCCCTGTCCCCAACAGTAGGCACCCAAGTTCTTTTGAAAAGCTGAACATAAAGCACAGAAGCACTGACTGTCCCCTGATCCACATCTTCTATTCCCTGTTCCATGGAGATATACTGCCCTTGTGTGTGGAGGATCCATTTAGATTCCCTGTTTAAGAATTATTGGTAGACTTCCGGAGAAATTGCCCCCCTGGATCGCAATAAGATTTTGTTCCCCGTGGTGGACTTGGTGCCTCCCTCAGAGCAGTGAGTCTAGGTGAATACTCACATTTGCAGTTCATTCTCAAGAGTTAGGATGAACTGTTCTGCTTTTTATATAATAGGTTGTTTCTTTATTGTTTCTGCCTGCATTAATCCACTCATTCCATTCCGTACTCGTGCCTAATAAGTATATGGTATCTGCCCACCTAATGGCATATGGAATTCCCATGTTGAATTGGGCCATCCAAGCCAGTATCTTTTTATCTTTATTTTTATTCATATTGATTTTATTGTAATTTCTTTGTTTGATTGTGGTGAGTCGCCCAGAGTTGTTAAGAGTCAGGTGGAATACAAGTTTAATCAGTTATTATTAATTATGATTATACGGTTTCCAGTTGTAAGCAAACAGCTTTTCCTGGGAAGCCTGTAACTGGGGCATAACATTCTGCCAGGAAAGAGAGGATGTAAGATTTATTATTGCTGTTGTTGTAATTAATCTGTGTAATTTTGCTGCATCCAAAATGGTGATGATGATGATGATGATGATGATATTATTATTATTATTATTATTATTATTATTATTATT